CTGAACCCTAAACTCCCTAAACTCCCAATCTACAATCATGGAGGCGGGAGGCCAACTTAGTGCGCAGTAGATTAGGACTTCCGTGGGCTTCCAAGATCTGCTGTAGATATAGATTTGTCAAGGCAGGGGCCTGGGTCTTTGGCTGTCAGAGCCTGAAGGCAGGTGCCTTTCGCACGGCAGGCGCATAGATGAGTCTGCCTGTCAACGCCTGGACGAGACTGGGCAACAGCATGCAAGAAGCGGTAAGCACTACAGGACCCCCCACACCCGAAACTTAATGCCAAAGCCCTAAACCGCTAAGCCGCTAAGCCCTAAAATCGGGAAGCAACCCCCAAATGCATTCACTTCTTTGTTGAAAAGCACGCAAAGTTTTGTCTAAGGAGACTGGACGTGTACTTAGAGAACACCATGTGCGACATCACAAAGGCGGGCTTGGTATGAGCACGAATTCTTGCACACTGCAGGGCCTTTTCTGACTGTGAGCGTGCTCTAGAGTGTTTATAGGGGCAACTGGCACAAGCTGAGCTTTCGTTATCTTTCGTTGAACAGGTGGGGAACCATAGAATTGAGCTCATTTGTGTCTACATGGGCCAGCTAAGCTCGCATTTAGCCTTCTGTCCTAAACCTCAACCAGGTCCTGAGACCTAAACAGCAAAAACGCAATCCCTGACTTAAACAAATATCCTCAGCCCTCAAAGCCTACATCTTACACCCTGAGTCTACTAAATCCCCAAAACCTCCAAGCTTTGAGCTTTAAGCCCTAAAGCCTTACTAAAGCGCACGTAAAAGCTCTAAACTCTAAACCCTCCTACATGCACTCCCCAACTCCGCCCTGGCAGGTGGTTTGGGGCTGCCCCCAGGGTGAGGCGATGTCCTGGTCCGCCACTGGACAAGACATGTTCTCGAAGCCCCAAACGCCGAAGCCACCGCTGCGTTTAAAGTAAACCCAAACCCGCACACCCCGGCACACCCCGGCCCCCGCGCTGTGCTGTATTCAATTAGTCTCCTCTTCGGGATGTGCACTTGAGTGCTCGAGCGCTGGAGGTCTGCAACACAGCCGATCTTCCACAGAGCTCAGGACGCCAGCTCTGTTCAGATGGTTTCATGTATGGCCTCAATGCTTACAACCAGTTTAGAATAGGGTGTGGGTACATTCTAGTATATCTATACAAGAATATACAAGAACTCTAGGAAATCTTATTGCTAGTGTTGAAGACCAAGGGTGCGAGCTTCGGCAGACTGCTGAATGCCAAACCCCAAAAACTCCCAACACCACCAAGCCTGTACCCTGCATTTTGCAATCAGGGTTTAGGGTTTATAGGGTT